ATCGATTATTATCCACCATGGTTCTAGTAGCTATGATGAATTAATTATTTGAAATTTCACTGTGGCATTGTTGCATCAAGTTATTTGGTCAGAAATTCAGAAAATTCATCCTGTGTGATTTGTCAAGTGTGTTAAGGTGGTTATGGGAATAATTTTTTCCACCTTTATTTTTCAATTCTAAAGTATATTCAGTTCCTTCACACATTGTCTGTCTTCAGTTACTTCGAACAATCATTCCTGTTGTAGGAAAAGAAAAGCAGCCCTACATTTACCTTGAGTTTATTTTACTTTAGCAGATTAAAAATAATATGAGCCCTTTACAAGTCACAAATAGAATGAAACCAAAATAGTAAACTTAGTTGTATTCATCAATAATACCACTTTAAATGTGAGTTTAGGTTCTGGGACAGCCTATTATCTATACTAAATTGTTATATTGGGGTCTGGAGTCTTTGACTTACATTGCGTCACTCAGTTCAGATTTGAACTCTAATTTATAGGAACAGTGAATAAGGTACTGTATAGTAGGAAGGAATTTATGTTTTATCAAACTTGTATCTTTTTGAAGCTCAGTTAATATTTCATTAATGTGATTTTAGAAGATTGCAAATCATTTCTTGAAATAGAACAATTAAATTTATTAGAAACTTTGCCTATCTGTAGTTTCACTAGGAATTGTCTATTGGATTTAAAATCCACAAACTGTAGGCTTGAACTTATTGCCAGTTACATTGAGATGAATTGGTAAAACTCTAATTTGGAGGTGATGGTGTTGGCATATAAGGATGGAGAGTGCCTACATCAAAAGTCTTCCCATGTCTGCTGATATCCGGTAAAAGTTGTTGATGCGTACAGTATGCTTCTGTCATAGAAGTAATCTGAGCATTTGTGGTAAAATAATACATATGTACTTATTACTCCCAGACTTTGAAACAGGTTGGCTCTTTCTGGATTACCGTATACTTGTGTGAACAAGAAAAATACTCTTATTGGGAAGTATGTTAGTTGTTAGGCTAGTATATTTATTAAGCTTGGCAAGTGTTGCCTTTTTAAAATTAATGAGGTGTTTTTTTTTAAAGAATTTCAGTAACGTTTATTTTACTCTTAACATTGGATATCATGCATGGAGAGAGAGAGAGAGAGACAGAGACAGTTTGATCTAGTTAAGGCACCAGCCTAGAAACCTGGAGACTGTGAATTTTAGACCCGCCTTAGGCATGAAAGCCGCCTAGGACCAGATGACTTTGAGCCAGTCGCTCTTTCTCTCTCTCAACCCAAATTACCTCACAAGATAGTTGTTGTGGGATAAGTAGGAGGAAGAAAGTGTGTTGAATATATTTACTGCCTTGAGTTATTTGTAAAAAGCATAAATGCAGCATACAAATAAGTAAATGGAAAGGCAATATACTTTATAAATTAATTTAAGTATTTCCTACATTAGAAAAAGAAGACCTAACTGGAAAGGAAGCCAGTGGCTCTCTCCAGGCCAGGGGAGATTAGATTTGCCTTTGGCTGAAGCCAAAAGGAGACAAAGATTGTCCTTTCTTCCTCAGACCTGTCTCCATAGGTCTCATGACTACGTAGATTTTTTTTTCAGTATGGGTGAAATTGTAATTTAGAATCATTGGACTGAATCTTTATTTCTACAGGGAATATTTGCCGGTCTCCCATAGCTGAAGCTGTTTTTAGAAAACTCGTAAAGGAGGAGAACATTGAAAACAAGGTAAACTTCATTTTAATTACTCAAGCCATTTTTCTGCTAGCATTATTTAAATAAATTGCTTTTGTTTTTCTGTAGTGGAGGATAGACAGTGCAGCAACCTCTACATATGAAATAGGAAACCCTCCAGATTATCGAGGCCAGAATTGCATGAGAAAACATGGCATAATTATGAATCATATTGCCAGGCAGGTACTGTACCCACCTATTCTTTTAAACTTGTGTCTGCCTATGTTCTTATTGTTTGCAGTGGATAATAGACAGTGGTGCTGTTTCTGACTGGAATGTGGGACGCTGTCCAGATCCAAGGGCTTTAAACTGCCTGAGAAATCATGAAATTGAAACAGCTCATAAAGCACGACAGGTAGAAGTGTGTGTGTGTATGTGTGTGCTTGGATGCATATGTTTTCAGAAAACACGGGCATATCTGTATGCCACAACATTTTTGTATTCTGTGCAAGGGTGAATAAAGCATTAAATATTGAACATCTTTTGTAAAATTGAGGTTAAGTCATAGATAACTGTTAACACTGTAACTTGATTCACCTCTCTATCTGGGGTTTTGCTACAAACCCATACTGGGAATGTTATTGACCATTGGTCATTTCCTCTGCTTGGACTTTTGGACACCTCTTTGCTTGGGCATCCAGGACAGATTAAAAGTTAATGGTTTTTAAACATTTAATTTTGAAAATGTAAATGGGATTTTTAAAAATTAATCTCAGATTTTAAATTATATAAAATATGTAATCATGAAAATGTTATTATATTCTACTTTATACAAAGTACTTTGTACAGGTAGTTCTCAACTTAGGATGGTGCTATACGACTTGTGCCTGCAATTACAGTGCCCCTGCAGTCACATGAACAAAATTTGGGCATGGGAGCTCGTCCACAGTTATGATCATAGGGGCTCTGCAGCTCCCCGCGATCTTCCCCCCCCCATCTCAGCTGCCCACTTAGTACGCAAACCTACTATGGCCTGGGAGCCTTGGCTGGCTATGAGGTCCACCAGCAAGTTGACAGCACCACACTTACTTTCATTGTTTTCTTTCAGTTGCTGACAAGCATGCCTAGCCTATGTGAGGTATGGCCTTCCTACCGAAGCTACCTCATACCTTTCTCCAAGCAGCATTAATTGCTATAGGCAAGGGGGGTTCTCATGGGGCTAGCCAGCCCCACAGTTGCATGGCCCTCTGTGCCCCTTGTAAGATTGCAGAGCCACGTTTTGACCACTTTGCGGAAGGCCAGGACCATGGGGACTGACCTTACCTCTAGGAACAGGATGTTCCATAATACGGAGGCACTGGCAGAGAAGACTTTCTTCCTAGACCCTGCCAGACAAAATTCTTTGACTGGCAAGGTGTACAGCACCATCAAATGGGATGGGCTAATGTAATGGGGCGAAGCTGGTTCTGCAACAAATGTTTATTATTTATATTGTTTATTGTATAAACATTATATTCTAGCTGTTTATTAAATAGAAGAGTACATCGTAGCAATTTATGTAATTTGTGTAATGGCCATTATGCAAATACTTAGGTCATCACACAGATGGCTTTATTTGCATATTGGAAATCTATTTGATATAAAGTCCATTATATCAAAGTCTGCTGAATTGAGGTGTCACTGTAAATAACATTAAAGCAAGTTTTAAGATTCTTTTCATAAAACTCTTGTGATTAGGAACTGTATACAATTATTTGTTGGGGACGTTATTTATTATATTTGCCAAAAGAACAATAGTTACCAGTTTTTATATATTGTACTAGAATCTTTGTTTCTTTCTGACTGGCATTCTTCAGCAAACAACAAAAACATTGCTTCTTGTTAAAATAGTAATCAAGTGCATTTTTAACTATTCATAAATAATCTTATTTTTTTTCCTCTTTAGTTAAAAATGAAATCTGTCTTTTGAATTTTAGATTACAAAAGATGATTTCCTGACATTTGATTATATCCTTTGCATGGATGAAAGCAATCTACAGTAAGTGTTAAAAGCTGTGAATTTTGCTAATAAATGTTTGTATACCTCAGCATTCTCTCTTGTCACTGAAAGGAAACCCCTGTAAAATTCAATGTTGTTCTTTCCAAATAGACTTGTGTAAGCTTATTTAAAATGTATAAAAACATTAGAATGGAACATATAGGTGTGAAAAACAGGAGTCTTTCTGTCAGTCTGAAGCACTGGCATATNATATATATATATATATATGATAAATGACTATCGTGCTGGTCATCTATATAAGAAAAAACTGTTGGTTCTAAACTAATTGAAAAAATATGTGTGATTCCATATACTTCCGACCACAATTGAGCCTGGAATTTTGATGGTAAGTTGTGGTCATTAAGCGGGTCATCATCACATGACCTAACTCAGTTTTTCAACTGCATCATGGTTGTCCCAAGCATGATTGTTAAGCGACCAGGCAGGTTGTTAAACAGAGTGCAGGGTGTCTCAGGAGGTGGGGGAGTCCCTGGGGGGCTTGGTGCAGGCCATGTGCAAGTTACAGGGTTGCTGTGGCATGGCACAGATGTAGGAAAGCCAGGGAAAGAAGCTGTAGTTGGCCCTGCAGTGCAGCGAAACAGTGCGGCACACAGAAAGATCAAAACACCTGGGAAGCTTCCACAGTGGGGCATAAAGCAGCCTCCCATCATGAAGCTCTGAATGCCTGGGAAGCTCCAGTCCGGCTGCCCTCTCTGCCCTGCCCTGTCTGCCCCACGGCAACTGACCTTCACCGGCCTGGATCTTTATGAAAAAGAAGAAAAATGCTAAAGGCAGCAGCTCGGCTGCAGTGTCTTAAACTACCTGTTTTCCCATGTTCCTGGGCAAGGCTGGAACACTGGAGCTTGCTTCGTGATGAAAAAAAGAGCTTGCCTCATTTTGCCAGGGCTCTGTGAAGGAAGCCTTGTTTCCCAAGGCTGCGTAAAGCACCCTTAATTCTAAAAGCAAACATTTTGGCTGGCTTTAGCATTCCCCCCCCCTTTTTTTTTTTCTCTGCAAAGAGTCAGACTGAGCATGCCTTAAAACGTGATAGTTTTAAGAGGTTTCGGGTTGACTTTCCTGGGTTAAAACCATTGAGCTCACATTCCCAGAGAAGATCGGCTTCAGTGGAAATAGCTCCCTTTTGGGGGGGGGGCTGCCTTACGCCCTTGGAGTTTCCTCAGCCGCCCTGAGTCCTTCGGGAGAAGGGCGGGATACAAATTGAATAAAATAAAAAATAAAATAAATAAATAAATTTGGAATTTCCCATGGGGCAGCTGTTTTGTGCCCCACTATGGAGGTTGCCAGGGTGTTCAGCCCTGGGAAGGCTGACTGCTTTGTCCTGCACCATTCCACTTCCCTGGCATTTAATATCATAGATGGGGGCAGGGGAGAGATAGGCAAGTGGAAGGAACTTGAATTTTGATCAGGTGACTACGGGGAGGCTAAGGTGGCTCTAACTTCTGGCACAGGTCATAAGCCAGTGCAGTAGTAAGTCGAAGAACGCCTGTATACAACAGTTCGTTTAGTGACCATTCAAAGTTACAACAGCATTGAAAAAAGTGACTTATGACCGTTTTTCACACTTATGGCCGTTGCAACATCCCCATGGTCATGTGATCAAAATTGAGACGCTTGGCAACTGCAGTGATTCATTTAACAACTTTGGCAGGCAAGAAAGGTAAAATGGGCTCAATATTGGGCTCAATTGTGGTCATAAGTCGAAAACTATCTGTATTGTAGTTACATAAAAATTCTTAGATTCGTAAATATGGCACACAGGTCTGTTTCCTATTGCTGTTGTTAACTATGGTATGCTAAACATTTTTCTTTTCACATTGAAACCTTATAAATACTTCCCTCTACATTTTTATTTGTCAGTTGTTAGATGACTGAAAAATAGTATATTTTGATATCTTTTCATCACTATATGTTATACAAAATATAGATGTGGAGGTAAGCCAGAAGAAAAATAATAATGTAGGAAAGATTTTACGATATTCAGCCATATAGAATGCTGTGAATCAAATATGTGATGCACTGACAAAAGAATTTCCTGGTGGTATAATCTTTTTTTTTTAAAGAATATGAATTGAAGTAAATCACCACTTATTTATTTTTAAACTTAAAAGAAAATTGCCTTAAAGGCCATTGACATAATGTTTGAAAAAAAATATTATAGCGTTTGGAAGTAAGATGATAATAGATTATGTGTTTCAAATTCTGATCAGTTCCTTACAG